CCCCAAAACCCCAAAACCCCAAAACCCCAAAACCCCGTTTTTTAGGTATAGATTTGAAATTTTAGGTGGATTTTAATGGCTTTCTCCAATTCTGGTAATTTTTCTGTTGTTGATAGTTTGATTTGAGGACTTGATAGATCTGTTCTAGTCTGAATCTTCTATGATATGACCTAGAAGCATCTATTCTCTTCTGATTCTTCCTCTGGTGTTTGACATTCATTGCTAAAGCCAAAATAGCTTTCTGTTTTAGAGTTCTGAACTTGGCAAGTACAATTTTGTTATGAATTTCTCTATGGTTCTTTCTTCCGAGGCAGATCTCCTTAAGGGTGTTGAATACCCTTTGTTTTGTCTTCTTAGCGTGTATGTAATCAACTTCGTGTATAACTGTCATTGAATAGTACTCGTTTTTCCATTTAGTCAAGCACTCAGCTGCCACTTTAAGGGTACTGTTGTACTGGAAATTGTATCATTTCCTGTTAAGCTCATAATTCCACTTGAGACCTTTAGTGAAGGCCTTGGTGTATAGAGTTTTGAGATAAAACAGGGCTGCTATTTGGCTAGCTTTCCGCCTTCTCTCATTCTTCTTAGTATAATAAGCCCAGCTTGAGTACACCACTTTTAGGATCCTTCTTGCTCTTGATTTACAGATTTTATTAAGTTTACCGTAGAATGCTTTATTTGAGATCCTCTTTTGGTTGATTTTTGACCTAAATTTGAAGAAGGCTGCCTTAAAATAATGCTTTACAGCAATTTTCTCCTTTTGACGCATTCTTTTAACGTTGGCAACATATTCGATCCACTTTTTGAGAAGGAATTTCTTCTTGATTCTCTCATATTTCTTCATAACTATTGATTCAAGCTTCTGCTGGGTCTGGATACTCTCTTCAGCAGCGAATTTAATACTCAAGAAGCACTTTCTAAATATCCAAGATCGATGATGCGTAATTGCTTGTGTACAGTCTTCGTTTATTTGGACACTGAGCTCGACTAACTTCTGGAAGCTAATCTGGTTAGCATTAATTGTACGAGAAGTGTCAATATTCTTCTTCAGAATGATCTTCTTTGGCTTAGGCTTTTTCTCAGAAGTCTGCTCTGCTTTGATAAATTTTCATTTCTGTTCCTTTTTCTTGGCCTTTTGATTCTGAATGAACTTCTTTAGAGCATGGAAAAGTTTATTCCTTGTGTCAAAATCTTTATTTTTCCTTATATTTCTGGTATTTTGAGAGTAAGAATTTAGACTCAATCTTTTGCCTTGCACTGTAGACTTTTAAGGCTTTGAAAACTTGGTGTTTAGTAAGCTCCTTGTGAATTCTGAGGTACTTTTCTACCTTGCGAGTATTCTCCTTTAATCGCTTTTCCAGCAGCTTTTTATGTGTTTCTTCTTTCAATTTTTGTTGCTTCTCAGCCTATTTGAAGACATTAGTTGAACTTTAGGTACTTACCTTAGATTTCTTCCTGTGCTTAGCCAAAGAAATAAACGCTTTAGTGGCTAGGGTCTGATCCCGATACTCCTCAGCAAGTCTTGTATGAGAGTCATCCTCCCAGTCAGCTACTGATTGGTGGTATGCTTCAAGCGATACCTGACTCTGGTATTGCTGATCAGAGACATAATTACACCATCCGTTGAATACCTTATTCAGAACTTTAAGGTAATAATATTGGTCGATCATCTCGATGGATGAAACATTTCACAAGGATTCCCTACACTCACAATTTGATATGTAAGACTTGTCAGCTGATCTAAGGTTTGTTTCATACTGCTGTTCTAGCATCTGAAAGGTGTCAAATTCTGACCAAGTGCCACTGAAGTTATCCTGTATACACATCAGCTTATCGTCTATTTATTCAGAGGGAAACCTTACTCTTGAACTTGATCCGGTCACTAAACTTAGCAGTAGGGTTCAGTTCATAAATATTAAGAGCAGGTGATTCTCTTTGGAGCTTGCACATGTTCTCTAAGTCAGCCTCAATAGAGAGGACATCCGGGTTCATCTCTGATGAACCTCTTGGAACTAAAGAATTATCTTTCTTGAGACTAGAGAAGTTGAACAGTGTTCTCTTGATATTTCCATGGTAGTCTTCTGAGCAAAGATTGGAATCAATGGCTTTGTGATATGAAGAAATCGGGCCTATAAGATGTTATTTCTCGTTTAATATTGCTCGGAATTTATAGACAAGCCTTTAGACTTGTTTACTTACTGAAGACATTTGGCTCAATGTTTTCACCTTGCTCGCTTACCTATATTGGGTTAGACGAGTACCAAATTTTGAGGAATAATGAAAATACTTGAAAGAATATATAAATAGATTATAAATATGCATAATAAATTCTAAAACACTAAAGATTACTTACCAGTGGTGGTCTTGGGATGTTCAAACTAGTTTTTGGATGCTTAGGAATTTTTAGACAATAATTGCCGCCAAAGGATGTCCGGCTTTCACTCATTTTTAATTTTAAATTGTGATGTAATTCAGTAATCTGGACTTTGGTAGGGGTTTTGGGGTTTTGGGGTTTTGGGGTTTTGGGG